TCCCCCACCCTCAACCCACCACCGCCACCACCACCACCACCAAAGGTGCACAGTGAAGGGGAGAGACTGGGTAGAAAGGCAGGTGACCCCGAGGAGCCTGCGGGGTGTATACTGGCCATTGGAGGGAAGGTGAAAGACAGGAGTGTACAAGGCATGGGAGACCCAGCGAAGGACTAGAGACCGTGGGAGCTTCACTACCCAGGTCTAGGTAGGCGGCTCAGAAAAATGTCCACACCAAAGATGGAAAGGGCTCCGAAGTTCCTGGGTGGTCAGCAGAGTGGACAGCAGGAGGGCCGGCCGTTCAGCTACCCAGATCAGCCTTAACAGTCCAAGTTTTAAAAATGTCTAATAAAAAAATAAAAATAAAATAAAAAATGTCCAATAAATTGTAGAGGAACTTCCCTTACCTATCTTTTCATAGAAACACTTAGAATATAAATGATTTCTTCTTAGCTATATTTCAATCATTCATTATATTTCCAGGTATTTAGTAGTTGTTGCCAGTGAATGAGATTTCTTTTCCCACTAAATTTTCTAACTAGTGAGTAGACATCATTGAATTCTTACTAGTGCTGAGTTTTATCATTCTTTCACTTGAAGCAGGTGAGACTACCTATAAATAATTCCTGTACAGTCTTTCTGGTTCCTTCCTTTGGGCTGGGATCACTGATGCTATTGGTGCAAATAATTCTACCTGATTTTATATACAGATGTTCAAAGGGCTCTGAACCTTTCCCAGAAGACCTTACACCTTTCCCTCGAAAAGAGCCAATAATGATACTCAATGTCTTATCAATAGTGCTTTATTGGTTAAAGGTTAGTTTCAATGGATACAAAATTGCTGTGTAAAATAAGTTTTCAAAATACATTTCAATAGGTAAAGATTATCTCTTAGTAAAAGAGCAATTATCTACTAGCAAAAGTGTGTATTTAGGTATGGGCAACAAAAGGGGATATAAAAGGGTAACAGTGAAGGTATACCCTCGCGTCTAACCATTACTGGGGCAGCCAGCCCTAAGCAGTTTACTCAAATGCACACAGGGCTGATACCGACCTCTTGGAAATGTCCCCCTGCCTCCCTTTAAACAGCTTTTACTAACACGGTTGATCAATGCCAAAATAACCCACATGACTGGCCTTGAAAGTCGTGGAACACTTTTTCTTGGTAAAACCTTTGCACAATGTGCCCATACCTAAAGCTACTGACCATTCACAATTATGCAACAGTGAAGAGGCCAAGTTAGCAAGGATATCGTATTATTTTCTGTAGTACACTTTTGTAATATATTTTGACCTCATTTCATTTTTTGGCCAAAACAGAAAACGCTTCTCATCCTCAGATCAAGCATTTTCTCTATCTCAACCCCTCCTGTTAGAGCAAAAAATGAAAATACTGAACCAGCACCTGGTTCCCTCCAGGTCCCCTTCACCAGTCACTTTCTGGGGACCCATTTCCCAACGTCAGTAGAAATGCTGAAGGAGGGCAGCCCTGGAACACCAGCACCCTCGGAGTGCACAGCAGAGGACACAGCAGGAGGGAGGGGGGCCAAGGCCAAAGCACAGGAAATCCACAGGTGCAGCTGTGACTGGCAGCACCTGCCCACCAGCCCACGGTGCAGATCTGAAACGTCTTTCATTCTTACATGACACACGGAGAAATTGTATTGCATATAATGAATGGATGAGATAGCCTACACATAAAAAATGACCACTGCTATTTGCCTTTCAGAAAACCATTCAAAAAAGTTAAAGGAAAGCCAAATTGGGAAAAGCTGGTTGGCATTTTGGGTTGCATGGGGCGAAGGCCTCAGGGACTGTAAGACAGGTCTGGGTTCAGAGGCACCCACCCACCCATAGGACCCTAATTTCCACTGCTGAGGCAGGTCTTCTAAACCTGCAGCTACAGAAAATATATTAAAGTGCAGTATAAAAGTACAAAAGGTTAGTTTCTGAACAGATCAATTGTTAATTTTCCTTAAAAAGTTATTTTTTAATTTAGTTGAGTAAAAACAGTTCATTGACTCTCATTGTGTTGGTAAGAATCTTAGTTGTGATATGAAAACTGGAGCTCACAGGTACGCTGATGTTTTCCGGAGCAGAGCATAACTAGCATTCGTGGAGAACACTAAAAAAAGTGGCTTGTGGCAAGTTCTCTGCATAGTGGTTTAAAAATGACCTAGCATAAGAATCCAGAGACTTCTTAAAATTTACCCCTAAAAGCCTGTGCTTCAAAAGAAAGCTATTTAAGTATAAACATGTATCTTGTTAGATAACTCTACTGTTTTATTTGGTAAACAGACAAGTGTGTAGATGAACTAATGGTACTGAATTATAGCAGCAAAACTGGTTTTAGGTGTTGTTCTCAAACAGAAGAAAGGCGGGGATGAACCCCACATGGCGCATCCTGCTAAGTAAATGGCCTTGTACCTCCTATGTCACGAGGTCCATGTCTCTACAACTCAGGAACATTCTGGGGAAATCTGAATGTTCTAGAAATAAATCAAGAATGCTCCTCAATGACTAGTTGGTTAGGCTAGCCAAATCATATTAACTACACATGCTGGCTGCTCCTGGAAATCAATTCTAACATTAGTGGTTAGTTAAGGTGAAAGAAAATGAAAATGCAAGGTTTGCTCACAAAACAGAAGTAGACCCTAGCAATGAATACAATTGTTTAAAAGTATTGCATACAAAAGAACACATCAAAAATTAAAAAAAAAAAAAATTTGTCAGGCCACAGGCACTGGAAAATGTGGACAGGCTTCTTGAAAACTCAGAGCTGGTGTTCCTGATCCGCAATGTTTTCTTTATCTTGCAAAGTGTTTTCTGGAAAAACAAGCACAACACAATGAGATGGGAGGGATGGAATGCTTGCTGCTCTGACTGTCAGCAGCATTATTTTCTGTGTAACAACGGCCACAAACCGACCAGAAGGTGGGGCTCATAGGACCACAGAGCTAACAATCAAAATATCCATTTATGAGGCTCTGGGAAACAGGGAGTACCACAAAACTGAAAAGTGTACAAAAATACAAATCAATTTTACGTATCTAAAGTAGAATTTCCATAAAGTTTTAAAAAGAGTGGCAGCACGGTCAGAGGAACCGAGAGAGCGCCGCCAGCCCTCCTGCCTCCAGCGAGCCTGCCCCGGGGCCCCTGCATCTCCACTGGACCTTCGTTTCTTGCAGGCGCCAGCCCTGCTCCTGCACAACCCACCCGCCTGCCTCCCTCCCCGTTGGACTGGCTAGTTCCATACCCACAGGCATGTAACTGTAAACCCCTGCACAGCATCACTGGCCTTGTGGGTGCAGTGTGAACTGCGCACATCCCAAGAGGGTTCTAAGGTTTCAACATGATGACAAAAGTAAAGCCACCAGATGGGGTTTATAAAGGCGTTACCTTCAGAGGACCTGCTTACACTGGACGTATGGGTTTGTGCCTTTTTGTGCATATACTGTACTTTGCAACGAAAACCTTTCCCAACGAGCCACACAAGGGCAGGAGCTCTGGGTTGGTGGCCAATGCCCCCGGATGCTCCTCTAGGCCCTCTGTCTGTCATGGTTGACTTCTGACAAGTGTCCGACCTATGGGCTCCTTGCCTTCTGTCTCATCAGTCCTGCTAGGTGTCAGCTGAGCCTCATGTCGTCGGTCACAGCACCTCCTTGTTTTCATCAACAACACTCTCAGGGGTCTACAATTAGGCCCCTACCGTGCTGGGGAGACTCGGTGCCTCCTCCCAGACCTGTGCCAGCTCACACCTGTTCAGCCCAGTCCTCTCTCTTCCACGGAAAGGGTCTGCCTCCCCCAACTCCATGGAAATGCTTCCGCCTTTGGTTGTTATGGCTTCCTCTCCCTCTGTCCTCTTGCAGGTGATGACAGCAGTCATCCAAAGAGTTCTGCGTGCCCAGCAGGACACGGGAGCTTTTCCTAGTCCCGGGCCCCTGGTGTCCAAAATCCCTTCAAGCAGGAAGGCCAGCCTGCCACGTGACTGATTCCACGGCTGGAGCAGAGCTGTGCTGAGGGGTGGGCAGTCAGCAGCGCCCATCAAGGTGCCCGCCCTGCCTGAAAGAGTTCACCCCCTAGAGCCACCTGCCCTCTGGTCTGCACCAGCTGTTCAGTAACACTTAACATTCTCTCTGAAGGGAGGTTTGCAGCTTTAATAAACTCCTAATTGTCTAAGCAATAAAAGTTCTTCTATTGTTAACCCTGTAACGACTTAGAAACTAGGAAGCCTCTTCAGTGGACACTGGACAGGAGTGGAGAAGCTTCGTTTTCTGGGAACACCTTTCCCGTGGAAGGCCGGGACGTGACGACAGAGCCATGAGTGCCCTCACCTCAGGCCAGCTGCCCATGGGCCCCGCCATCGCCATCCCCGCCCTGCAGCTGCAGCTGCATCTGGGCCTGCATCCGGGCAATCATCTCCTGCATGCGGCGCAGCTGCAGGCACAAGACAGACAGCATGTTACTGCCGGCACCCTGCCCCCAGCGCCTGCACAAGACTGTGTGTTACTGCCCATGCCCTTGCACCCCCACCCTCCATAGGCGTTAAGTCCCAGAACACAAGCTTCTGCGCTTTTTTTTAGCAAGGAGCTAATATATACACACTCTTACAGACCAGTGAGACTGGCAACAATGTAAGAGACGACCGAACACATGACAGGAATATGCAATTCAAATAACAGAAATTATCAATAAACAAGCAAAGAACAACAAGCCGGGGGGAGAGCCTTTCTAACCTACAAGGGGGGGCAGGGACACGGAAGGATGGACTGCCGCTGCCCCATGGACTGGATGGTATGCAGCCAAGGGGGGGGGGCGGGGGCTGGTCCTAGCCATTCAAATGGTGATGCCCATGCTCGTTTCCCTATCAATTTTATCACTGTGGTTTCTGTGTGTTTTATAAAGACCTCCAGGCAAATAGAAAACATGTACCTAATTTTTTTCCAGGTAACTTTGTGGTTTTAACATTTAAATATTTGATCCATACAGAATTAATTTGGCTGAGGAAGTGAGTCTCATTTTTGTTTCCAAAAGGCTGGCCTGTTCTGTGAATATTTACTGAATATGCCTGGATTCCACAACGCCACAGATCTCAAGGCCAGCTTTACCCCCAGAGCGCGTCTCTGCCCTCTGAACTAGTTCCAGCTGTGTACCTAATCAGCCTGCCACACCTGGACCAAACGCTCTGGGTGACCACCGTTTCTCTGACATTGTCATAACCAGTACAGCAAGCCTCTTCTCATTAGTCCATTCTTACAACTTCCTGTGTTTCTCATGCTTAGTCTTTAAAATAAACATTAGTTATCTTATCAAGCTCTTCCCTTAAAGAAAAAACTCAGCAAACACTCATAACTCTATTTACTCTAAATTTAATGCTGGAATTGCATTAAATTTAGAGAATAAAGAGAACTGTGATCTTTGCATTAAGCATCCTAAGAAGTGCTGTGTCTATTAATAAAATTCTGAATATTTCGTCTGTAATTTCTTTCCCCATGAAGTCCTACACATTTCTTCTTAAATTTTTGTTAATGGTTGTGAACAGTGGTTTCTTTCATTATTACTTTCTAATTGGTTGTTATTTATATATAGGAAAAATGATTTTTGAACATATTACAAAATCAGTCACGTTATTAAATTCTCATTATTTCCAAGTTTTTTCACTAAATTGCTATTGGAGATAAAATGAAATAATATATGTAAAGCAATATGCATATTATAATGTATAGACATATATATAAAATACATTAGCTATATGAAATGTATTCCTTCTCAAAAAATAAGGGAAACTATAATAAGATAACTACAAATAATATTTTTGGGTGTAAACTACACAGCATTAGACTTAAAAATAGTACTTTTCGGGCCGGCCGAGTGGCGCGATGGTTAAGAACTCGCTTGGGATGCCAGAGGGCCCCGGTTCGGATCCCACATATGAGGGCCAGTGANGCTAGCCTGGAAGCGCGGCACCAAATTCTGATTGGTGAACAGACGGGCGGCGAGAGGGAACCCGCGGAGTCGCATGCAATTCAGTAGAAACTCGGCTCGCTGGGCGGGTTGCTGCTTTGGGTGGGGCGCGGTCTTGGGCGGGGCCACGGCTCGGGGAGCGGGACGCTGTCCTGGGCGGGGCCTTTGACTGGGGGGCGAGGCGCAGTTCTGGGCGTGCCTTAGGCTCAGGGGGCGGGACGCTGTCCTGGGCGGGGCTTTCGACTCGGGGGGCGGGACGCTGTCCTGGGCGGGGCCTTTGACTGGGGGGCGAGGCGCAGTCTTGGGCGTGCCTTCGACTCGGGGGGCGGGTCGCTGTCCTGGGCGGGGTCTCGGCTCGCAGATCCGAGAGCGATTTACCTCCTTCCCGCTCGCTTCGCCCTGCTGGTGCCGGCCAGCCTTCTTAACTTCCACCCTTTGCACTCCCGGGGCTACCGAAACCGTAGTCTAAGCGTACTGAGGGCCACGCGAGGATGTGTAGTGATGTAGACTGGTCGCTCTGGGGAGGAGGCCCACTGCCCTTCAGCCTTCGCGGTCCCCCTCTAGCCTCGCGACCACCCCCTGGGAACGGAAACGTGACATCACTTCCCAGGCCCGACTGAAAAGAGCACACGCCCCTTCATCGAGCGGCTCAGTGAACTCCTACGTATCCATCAAGACCCCTGCCCAACGTGCCCTCCGAGGTGGCTGTGGTCCTGGCACCCACAGCTGTTCCCACAAAGCTTTTGAGGGGATAAAACCAGGGCCGACTGGGCTCCTCCTTGAGGGGAGTCCTCCTCCTGCAGTGCTCCCTCCTGAGCGAAGCCAGACCGATTCCCAAAAGACGAGATGGGAGTAAATATTGACCTCAGGGTCTGAGGCTGTGCAAGGATCCCACTCCCTGGGGCTCAGCCCTGCGGGGCGACCCTCCCTCCTCTTATCCCCCAAGTCCTCTACCACCCCTCTGGTCTTTTC